CGGGACGCGGTCCCCGGCGGCACCGCCGTCCCCGGCGGACTGCGACCTCACAGGACCGAGGCCCGGCTCTTGCGGGTGGGGAGTGACCGGGTTCGCCACGCCGCGTTCCTCAGCTGTCCGTCCGTGCACACCGTCAGCCGTGGGGGGATCCTGTCCAGTGTATGTCCCCCTTCCTCCGTAGTCTCGAAGTAGCAGCCCCCGGGAAACAATGCAGCTGGAACTACGGTGGCTCAGCTGCCAGCAGTTGGTGACTTGCTCAGTAGTCACATCTTGATTTTTCTTGAGTATCCAGAACACCTGGGTTCGAATCCTGCCGCTTCCGTTTGTGAGCGTCAGCGAAGGATGTAGTAAAAACATGCCAGCCAACCAGACTTTTCAGACGCTGTGTTACGTTCCTTTGATGGCCAGGCTTTTTGCTTCTTCTCCAGTGATAGGCAGGATGCTTGTCCGAGGAAACTGTGAAGCAAATCAGGATGATAGCGTCTCAAAGGGACACTTGTAGCCTCCCAAAGAAACATCAGTCTGTTAGGTTGCTTGGGTTTTTTAGTGAGGATGTGGCCTCTGGACTGTAACTTCACCTGTCTGTGTGCAGTGTTGATCTTGTGGAGGGCATTCAGGACCCAGAGACGGGGACACTGGGTATAAAGTGCTCTGTGTCTGTGCAGCTACTTTCCAGCTCTTTGCTTATTAATGAGCACACAAATAAAACAACAGTGTTGATTGGCCTACGTCTGTCTTTGTTCCTTTTTGGTCTTTTTATGTTTTAAATTCAGTGAAGATTTTGGGTAGGCCATAAATCTTGTAGTATTGCATCAATGATTCCTCCTTTGTACGGTGAAATGGGTAAGTAGAACTTTGGAAGACTTCCAGAAGATGCGTGGACGTGTGTGTGTGTGTGTGTGTGTGTGTGTTTGTGTTTTAAGGCCTGTTCTAATTCAGAATAATAGAAGCTTAAGTTTTTTTTGTTTTTTTAAACAGAGGTTCCATGATATATGATTGATATTTCATTCTTATCTTTTGCTGACTGAAAGACTGTGTGGTGGTGCAGTGACCACTCAAACATTTAGTTCCTTCACCCACGAGCTAAAGAATTATCCTTTGATACTACTCAGTGAGGCAAGCAGAGCTGGTGATTGCTTAGCATATCCAGTCCTGAAAGTCGTTTATGACCATGGTGACTGTAGTAACAGCAGACTCCACTCAGCTCTTCAAGGAAGCTGTGATGGTTGGAAGCACAAGAGCCAAATTTAGAACATTGTCTTTCCAGTTGAAAGGAGAGTAGTATTCTACCCTAGTTTACAAAAGCTATCTGACTCACTGTAAGAAAGAATATTTAACCCCACATTCTGGTCTGTTTGTGTTCCTTTTAGTAAAAACTAAGGGTTTTCTTCTACTTCTTGTCCTAAATGACTAAGGCCAAGTTTTGAATTTCTCATAAACTCACAAGCATCACTTGGCTTACAATGTTTAGTTGTTCTATTAGAATTTATTTTAGAGACAGCACTAGGATAGACAATTTAGACCTACAAATGATTCTATAATCTTACACCATTTCAAACTCAGTTGAACTTTGTGAACAGAGGTTTTTCTCTGCTCTAAGAAGTAAAATATCAGGGTAGAGGAGCATTAGACACCGAGAGCTGACACAACCCAGTACACTACTGACTGTTAGGAGTGCATTTCTTAATGCTTTTCTGATGAGGTGGGTGAGCTGAGCCTTCACTGTAAGATTAGGGAGTAAGTGCTAATAAATAGTTGTTGTCTTTAATAAACTACATCTTGACAAATTAAATTTAGGCATCAGTCCAACTCCTTAAAGAAAACTTACAAATCCCTGTTTTAATTGAGATCAATTTTTTTATATTCAGTTTTCAGATTTTTAAGAACAAGGAGATAAAAATACGTGTGTTTTCTTAGACTTTATTGCAGTTGGTAGGCTCTTCAAATTAAGAATTCTAAATCAATTTTCTGCCTTAATATTTTAAAAACCATTTTAGAGTTATGTAAAAATGCATAGATCTAAAGTACCAAAACTCTGATTGCCTGTTACAGAGACAGGAGGTGTTAGTGCTGCAGGAGGTATAAACTACCCAATCTCTCACTGAGGGTTAAATATGAAAAGATCAAAAAGAAGCAAACTTGTCAGCACTGTTTCATTTGTATAGTGGATAAAGAACTGAAGTTGAGATTCTGTACATTAAAACTTTAATCCATATTTGATCGCTGTATCTGAAAAATCTTCCTTCTTGCTGAACCATTTCTAAAATTCTTTGAAAACAATTGCCTCAGCTTTCATCTCTTAGAAGTAAAAATTAATCTGCATAAATTTACCTTCTATGAAACCTCAATGTCAGCTGTTTTCATCAGGAAAGCATGACTTAATGTTTCTTCCACAGGTTCTCTTCTGTTCTGTTATTTTAATTTAAAAGCTTAATCTAGGAAAGTGTGTCAAAGTTAATGCATATTAAAGTTTACTATTTAAGGTTATGAGGAGATAATGATTGGATGCTTTTAAATTTGATTTTTACTTTTGCTTGAGTTGTACCAGAATCTTACTAGAACCAAGCAGAAAGGTTTTTTTTTTTTTATGCTTCTTTCAAACTGTATGTGGGAAATGTGCAAACATTTCTTGAAATATTTACACTTTGTTACAAAGGGCAGGAAACCGTTTCATTGGAGAATGGAAATGAACTCACAGGCCTGGTTGTATGTGTTAGTGCATAGTAACTTGAGAAGTGTGCAGCTAGTATTCTTGGGGAGTGGAGTGGTGGCGCATAATTTAAAAGGTATGCTGAACTAAGATTTTCAACTGGATTTAAAACAAGCTCATATGTGTGTGTGTGTGTGTGTGTGTGTGTGTGTGATATATATATATATATATATATATATATATATACAATCTTCTTGTGGAATGCTGGTAGACTTTAAAATACCGTGAATACTGATCTGCAGTGTTTCAGCATTTTACAGTAGCAAAACAAATGAGATTTAACAGTCTCTGTATTAGTCCATTATACCTCAGGTCTGCACCTGAGTGTGCCTGCTTTATTCTGCACTGTGTTCCAACACCTAGAACAATGTCCACATGGAAAAGCTGCACCATGTATTTTTGTATTTCCAAAGATGAGCTCTTTGGAAATTATTTTTGACCTAGTACCTTTGCATGAGGCTTGTTTGATGACCTGCTACCAATTATCTATAAATGGAATTCATTTCTATTTACAGTTTAGTGAACCAGCCTATGGTTTTTTTTTTTTGTTGTTGTTCATAAAGTACTAACTGGTGGGAAACGGAAAAAGAACTGAAAACTATTAATGTTTTCACTTGCATAGTTTTGTGTGGAATAACTCTCTAAAAATATGAGTGTGCTCCCTAAGGTATAAGAGAGGAGTTGGAGTAGCGCCTGGCATTGAGCCGTGTGATGGCTTGCCTACAGCTGATGTGCTCCACTCAGAGCGAAGCCGGTTCCCACTGCACCAGGCCTAAGTGTGAGCTGGTGCTATCCTACTGTGTCAGAAACAGGAAGAGAATTAAGAGGGATTTTGTGATTGTGTTATACTTTCCTTCATGAGTAACTTATTACAAAGTCAACATAGCTTCTTTTCTTACTTCAGAATAGCAATGCACATTGTAATCAATAACCATACTTACTGTATTTGTGAATATGAATTTAGTTTGCCCAGCACATAAAAGAGTCTTGTAATCAATAACCATACTTACTGTATTTGTGAATATGAATTTAGTTTGCCCAGCACATAAAAGAGTCTTGTAATCAATTTAGTTTTACCATCCTCCCCTTTTGTAGCCTACTGGTAGACTATTCAATCTTTGATAATTTTGATGACAGCATTTCTTCTAAAAAGAAAAAAACTTGGACAACGTCCAAATAGTTCTACATCAGCATTGCTAATTGGGGACGCCTGTAGGGGAACTCAGCTGTCTCTCCCTGCCCCCTAGTTAATGGTAGACAGATCAGCTTATCATAGGGTTGGTTGGTTTCTGTCTTCAGCAGTTCTTATGTACTCCTCAGCATTGACATTGTTATGTGTAAAGCATAGATCCTCCTTAACATATCCTTTTCCTCTGGTCACCAGTCAGTCTTCACTGGGGTCTCAGGAAACTAAATCTGCATAGTTTTAATGGATATCAGATGCCAATTTGTATAATGACTTTTTCACAGGTCACGACAAATTAAGAGACAGTATGTAAATTACTTGTCTTTAAGTTTAGTTTTTTTTTGTTTTGTTTTTTTGTTTTTTTGTTTTTTTGTTTTTTTTTGGTTTTTCAAGACAGGGTTTCTCTGTGTAGTTTTGCGCCTTTCCTGGAACTCACTTGGTAGCCCAGGCTGGCCTCGAACTCACAGAGATCCGCCTGGCTCTGCCTCCCAAGTGCTGGGATTAAAGGCGTGCGCCACCACCGCCCGGCTCATAAGTTTAGTTTTTAATTGATAGAATATGTGAGCAAATTGTTAGCTTGGGTAAACAGGTTATTTTTATTTATTTTTTTTTTCTGTTACCTAGATGAAGCTCCTGTAGAATGTGCGATACATTTTCCATTGTTCTGCATTGTCTTGTACACTAGAAGTCTCCTTACTAGAGCCCACTAAAGACTGTTCCACCCCAGATCATTTCACAAAGCCAGTGGGTCCTGATACCATTGAGAAGAACTGAACAGAATTTGCAAAAATGTCAGTAAATGTCATACAGAGTGTATTTGTTAGGTTTATCTGTTTATTGCTGTTATTGTTTGATATTTCAGAAGTCTCAGTTTAGAGTAAATTTCCTTGTTGCAAGAACTGCGCTCATTTAAAAGGTGGCCTCCTTCAAAAGGGTCACGAAAGGCTGTGTCTGTCGATGAGCGTAGACGAAGTGTGGTTTCAGTTTACCGGAGATTGTTTTTGTGCTTATTGTAATAGGAAACTTTAGAGAAAGATATGGCGTTCGAATCAGTCCTTAAGCACAATCAGTCTCTAGGTAGACCGAAAGGAAGAACATTTTAGATGAGGGCAAATCCACGGAAATGTGAGTGTGCAAGATGGGGACCAGGAGTGTCTTGGCGGAAGACGACACTACAGTAGAAGAGCAGGATTTTCTGAAGATGGCCAGAGATGATGTTTGGAAACTAATATGACCGCTTTACTGAGAACTCTCAGTGATTTCATTTAAAAAACAAAATAACAGTTAAAAAAAAGTCACAAACGTATTCTCCCTGAAGAAAAATTGAAGCTATCAGGCCCTAACTGTTTGAATCAGTGGTGTCTGTCTAATCCTACTCCCAGAGAGACAGGTTTTCTATGTTTTCTTTTGCTAGCCTCTTTAGGGTGGAGACAGAACTTCGTTAACTGAAACTGTAAAGAGGGAAGAGGAGGGTCCGGGTACATCTCTGCAGCTGGCCGTGTGTGATTACCGTCTGAGAAGTGCTAAGTGTAGAATGGATAGCAAGAGTGCTGCAGATCCTTTTAATCATGGAAGGCTCGCTTCACAAGTGGTTCCGGGTCCTTTTTTGACTGTCAGTGTACTACATACATCATCACTTCTCTGAATTGGATGATTCGTCACTTCCCTTAGGAACCCTGTCTCCACCCCCTGTGACTGTCCCAAGTAATCTGCCCTTCTATTAACTACTTTGCTCTTTGTCTCGAAGTTACAGGAAGAGAGATTGAACGAGGTTGAGAAAGCAAATGTTCTGGGTGTGAGATGAAGCCTGGGCTGGGTTGCATGGAGGGGGCAGTGACAGAAAAGCAGGAGAACAGATTGCTAAAGGGACTAGGAAAGCCAAGGAGAAAAGGATGGTTATGTGTGAGAAGCCATCGGAAGGAAGGTGCCCAGATACATGTACTCAAGTAGAATTTCGGTTTGTCCCCTTTGTGAAGCCTGGAGAATGCTCCAGTAGGAAGGACTGTGTGCAGCAGACCTTACTATGCACAGGCATAGCGTGAAGAAGAGGGACAACTCCGTGTCTGTGACTCGGGGTGCAGAACTGGAAACTCATCTGGGCATCAGCTGTGGGCTACTGCTTCAACTTAGCTAACTGAGTAAGTGCTAAGAAGGGAGAAAGAGTTGGGAGCCCTGGAGACCAAGGATGCTAAATAAAGGAATGTGTTTTTCTGTTGACAAATCATGACAGACAAATAAGAGCCTTAAAGTTGATAAAATGTGTTCGTTCTTAACGGAATACTGGGGAGTCACAATGCCTTTATCATCTGTTCTCTCTTAAAGGGATTCCTTGTCTACGGTGAGTCCAGCATCTGTTGGTAGAGCGCTAACTAGTTATGAAGTTTAAAGCCACTGCAGTTTTACAGTGTAAGATATTAAAGTCAGCAGCAGCGAATTATATCTTACATTTATTGTATATCATATCGTGTGTTATATCTTTAAAGAAAGTTACTTTGAGTGAGCTAGTCTGTAAGGTGCTTTGAGACTGGTAAACATGTCTGAGATTCATTTTTTTAATTCTAAGATTTTGAGAATAAGTTACCAAGATTCTTATGTGTTCACTGTATTTATTTGTCCAGTCTAGTCTTTAATGTCAATACGGGCTTGGGCTTGCTTATGAAACATCTACAGCACGATAGTGTTCATTTGTGTCATTGGGAGGTAGGTGAAACAGTGAAGTGATTGGGAGCCTGAGATCAGTGGCTGTAGTAATTGTTGTCTCCACAGGTGATCCAGAGGAACAGAATTGGACAGACAAGGTGGCTTTTCTTACTATAGTGACTCCTTTCTACATTTAGAATAATGTTCTTCAAGCACTAGCTTTATTTTTTGCAGGCCTTAGGTCAGCAAGTATTTGAGAGTTCACTGGGTGCTGGAAATCATATAGTAGAATCAAATGTTGTACAAGTCTTAGAATTTATTATAATTTATCCTTAACAAAATTCACTCCTGCTTAGTGTTCTGAGAGTTCTATGTGGCCAATCTTCTCTTCCTGGTTCCAGTGTCCTCTAATCATCACCCTTCTCAAAGTTTGATGTGAGCACACATTTTTCTGTTCTGCAATTTAATTTGCTTTATTTTCCACTTGCATACTTCTTTTTGGAATTACTTCATTGTAGTTTCTCATCTGCCCAGTTGCAGTATGGTCTCGTCTTTGGTAACTTATCTGTCTGTCTGTGCACTGTTGAAACATACCAGAGACACGGACAGTTCTTTTCATCAAGACCAGTAGGATCTTTTTTTAATTAAAAGTTTTTATTTTTGCCGGGCGGTGGTGGCGCACACCTTTAATCCCAGCACTCGGGAGGCAGAGCCGGGCGAATCTCTGTGAGTTCGATTTATATTTAATTATGTGTATATGCATGTTGGGGTTAAGGGTTGTGCATATGAGTACAGTGCCAGAGGATGTCAAGCTAGGGTATTGGATCTCCTGGAGCTATAGGTACAGGCAGTTGTGAGCTGCCCAACATGGGTGCTGGGAACTGAACTTGAGTTCTTTGCAAGATCAGTATGCACTCTTAACTGCTGTACCATCTCTCCAACCCCTGGTAAAAGATTTTATATTCTGTATTTCAGGATAATTTTTGAAGTTGACTAATTTTCCATAGAGAAGGAACCTTTGTAAATAAATAAAAAGGTATTCTCACCTAGTCAAGTAAAGTGCTGCTCTCGCTGACCTAGACAGTAGATATAAGTAAGCTCTGTTTGATCTGCGCTAAGGAAAATGCTTTGAATCAACAGTGGAACTGGGTTCCCAGATCCCTACCGAGGAGAAAAGCTGCTTCCTGTCAAGGGTCAGTTCCCGACTAGGTCTCTGAGCTGCAGCTGTCTTGTTACTTTTACGTCTCCTTGGTGATTTTGTGTCATCTTCACTCACGTGCAGTGTGCTGTCTTGCTCTGAGATTGCTGTCTAGAGCCTCCATTGCTGTCGTCCTGCCCACACCCTGCAGGGCTTCTGCCCACAACCCTGAAGAGCACTCCTCCTTACTGGTCTCCAGTTACTCCTCCGTACACCTGCAGCTGCAAACCAGAACTAACTAGTATGGCTGGCTGGCCACCCCAGAGAGGAACTACTGAGAGGCTGTGCGGGCCTACGGGTTGTGTCCCTTTAGCTGACTGTCCTCCTCCTCTCCTCTAGGGAGGGAAGGAAGGCCCTTATTGATGGAGTTATGAGTGGTCCACTTTATGGTCATAGAGTGTGTGTGTAGAGATGTAAAGGCTCTTAGTTTAATTTTTAAAATTCATTTGATTCCTTAGATGTAAATGAAGATCAGGAGCAGATTTGAAGAAATGCAAAGTGAATTGGTACCAGTCAGCATGTCAGAGACAGAGCACATGGCCTCCATTTCTTCTGATGCAAATACTGGGAAAACACCTGAGTTAAAAGAAGACTTGTGCAACCCATTTTCTGGTGATGAAAGCAGCAAATTAGAAACCGAATCTGAACTATTGTCATTGAACTCGGACAAAATTTTATGTCAACCTAATGAACACAGTTGTCAAATTGAACAAGAAAACCTTATTCCAGACTGTGGTGGTGGTGAGAATTCTTGTGTTAAAACAGACGCGTGCTCAGAAAACTCTGAACAAATAGATGACTTTCCTGCTGGGGACTTTGCAAAACAAGTGTCCAAAACAAGTGACCCAGAACAGACGGTGACACAGATACTGGCAGAGTTGAGGTCCTCTGCATCTACAGAAGCCAGTGACCCAAAGACGTCCTCAGCAAGCCTCTACGACACAGACTGCACCAGGAAACTCATTTCTCAGATAAAGACTGTTTCAACATCAGATGATTTGTTGGGAGAAATCGAATCTGAGCTCTTGTCTGCAGAGTTTGCAGAGGAACACCAAGTACCAAATGGAGTGAATAAAGGCGAGCACGCCTTAGCCCTGTTTGAGAAGTGTATGCATGGCAAGTACTTGCAGCAGGAGCTCACGATTAAGAAGTAAGTCTAGTCTGTGGGAGGAAACAAGGGCAGAACTGCACTTTGTCTAAGGAAAGTAGTCTTGTCCACATCTCATTTCAGAACGCAGTGTCTACTCCCTTAATAACTGAGCACCTCACGTTTGCTGCTTCTGCTGGCTATTGTAAGTCTAAGGAAATAAAGAGTAAACAGTGTAAGCGCATTAGGGAGTGAGAACCTTGTGTAAAGGAATTCACATTATGTCAGAATAATTCAAAAGGAAATTGAAAGTCATGAAATTTAAGTCTGGAAGCTTAAAATATGGAGAACAGAATTTGAGCATATTGTGCTTTTAGACTTCTATTTGTATAGGGTTTTGATGATAGTTTGATTTTCTTCAGCCTGTTTTTGTTTTGTTTTGTTTGTTGGTTGGTTGGTTTTTCAAGACAGGGTTTCTCTGTGTAACAATCCTGGCTGTCCTGGAACTTGCTCTGTAGGCCAGACTGGCCTTGAACTCACAGAGGTCCACCTTCCTCTGCCTCTGCCCCGCTCCCCTCTCTTGAGTCCTGAAATTAAAGGTGTGCACTGCCACCTCCCAGCTTAATTTTTCCATTTTTTAATTAAAATTTAATTTTTTTTAAATTTAAGTTTTCTAATTTTTTTAATTAAAAAAATGAGTGTGTTATGATGGGAGGGGTGTGTACATGTGAAAGTCAGAGAACAACTTTTTTGAGTCATTCCTCCCCTTCTGCCTTTACATAGGTTCTGGGGATCAAATCCCTTTTTCTCAAGAATGTCTCTGCTCACTGGATCTAGCTTGGAACATGCTGACTTGTGATGCACTCTGCTTTCCCACTGAACCCTCTGTGCTCCTGTCCTTTAGGCTTAGGGCTCCTTCCCCACGGCCCTGCAGTCTGTACCACGCCATAGCACCGTCCCCACGGAGTCTTCCTCATGCCCTTCTCTAGTTTTCTTAGATGGTGACTCCTAACAGTTTATACAGCACTTACAAATTTAAAGCTGTGTTCACTTATTAGTATCATATGCTATATGTGACTGGCACACGTCTTGACTTATGGAATCTTACAGATACACAGTATGTACTGCTGTCATCCTGAGGTGTGTTAAGGTACCCGAGACACAAACTAAGAAACTGCTTCATGAGTTTGGTTTTAGAAGTTTTCTCAGTTGTGACTGAAAATCATCAGGTTGTTGGACGACTAAAAAGTATTAGGAGTACAGTAAAAAAAAATGAAACCAACAGCTCCTCTCTTTGTTCTACCCTGTCAGAGCAGGAGCAGCGTGGTAGAGTGGGGTTAGGGCGTTAATGGGAAGCCTGAAATTGAAGAGTCCCGTTGGCTGGGTCAGATGGTTCATCCCTATGAGAGAGGCGGTACTTACCTGCGGTTACTCTTGTGGCCATTACGGCATCATAGAAGTGTCAAATGTTATTGGAAGCTTCATTGATTTTTGTTGTTGTTGTGGTTTTACATATAATATTTTTACTTCCAAATAAAATGCTTGTTGGTTCAGGTAAGCAACTAGATGTTTTTCTTAACTTTTACCTCCATTTAATATTTGCGAAGAACACTACATTTGAGTTCCTTTGATCGAAATTTTCATAAATACATCCTTTCCCAAATGTCTGAGTTCGTGAGGTTTTTTTTTTTTTTTTTTTTGGCAAAATTGTATGTATTGAAGATGTACAGTGCAGTGATTTAAAAGCCATTATGACTCTGCAATCAAACTGGTAAACATATCTATCCTCTCACGTAGTTATGTGTGTGGTGTGAACCCTTAAGATTTACTCTCTTTGCAGATTTCCTCTCTTCCTTCTCCGGGTCTGTCTGTATGTCCCCACCCGCTTTCTTCCCTTCCCTTCCCTTTATTCTCTTCCCTTTCCTTTTTTTCATCCTCTTCTCTGTGCATTGTGCTAAAAGACCTTAAAAATGATAGACATGTACTCTGCCACGTCCTCAGCCCTATTATCACCATGTTGTACATTAAATTCCCCAGAACTTGTCTTAACCTGGAAGTTTGTACTCTTTGGATCTCATCTCCTGTATCCTCTACTTTCTGGTTCCAGGAAAATACCACTCCACTCTGTTTGCATTATTCTGTTATCCCATCCATCAGTAATATTGTTCAATTACCCAACTTATATTCTTGAGGATAGTTGTCGGTGTGGAGTGTGTACATGACATCTAAGAATAACAAATAACAAATTTAGGCTGTGGGTGTGGCCAGTGGTAAGGTGCTTGCCTAGTAGGGCTGATTGGCCAGAGATTTTTTTTTTAAATATCTGATGTATGAATCAACAAAGTGAGTATTTAGGCTTGCTAACAAAACTAGCAGCTCTTACCTTTCTCATCTTCCTACCTTTTCTTATATAGACAAGATTGGAAATAGTTTATCCTTAAACATAAAATCACTTGATGGCAAAGACATGCTCTGAGAAGGCATCATTAAGTGTGGGGTTTTGTTCTTATATGAATATGGTATTTTATTATAAAAAAGATTGCTTGAGAGTATTGACTTATATAATCATAGGTGTCTACATCTAATCTATAGATAAATAACATTCCATATCTTATATCTATTTTTGCTTTATTTATATTCCCCTTTTATGTTTAGGTTAATTAAAGAAAATAAGAATCATCAGGAACTCATCTTAAATATTTGCTCAGAAAAAGACAATTTAAGAGAAGAACTGAAAAAAAGAACAGAAACAGAGAAGCAGCATATGAACACAATTAAACAGGTAAAAAAAAATAATTCTTCCAAGACCATACTTAAATTTAGAAAGTAAACTCCTGAACAAACAAACAAATAAACAAACAGAAAACATGTAATAAGTTAAAAACATTTCAAATGCAAGAAGATGTGGTTGATACATTGTGCACCCCAATAAACTTATCTGAGGGTCAGAGACCAGAACAGCCACTATATTAAACGTAGATTTAGGCAGTGGTAGCACATGCCTTTAATCCTAGCATTCAGGAGGCAGAGACCTGTCTGGATCTCTGTTAGTTCAAAGCCCCACTGGAAACGGCCAGGCATGGTGACACACACCTTTAATCCCAGGAAGTGATGGAAGGGAGCAGAAAGATATATAAGTCATGAGGACCAGGAACTAGAGGTCTTTTTTAAGCTTTTAGGCTTTTAGCAGCAGTTCAGCTGAGATCCATTTGGATAAGGACACAGAGGCTTCCAGTTTGAGGAAACAAGGTCAACTGAGAAATTGGCGGGGTGAGGGTTGGCTGTGGCTTGTTCTGTCTCTCTGATCTTTCAGCATTCACCCCAATACCTGGCTCCCAGGTTTGTTTTTATTAATAATACCTTTTAAGATTTGTGCTACAGGAAACTACTTTGTATTTAAAGCATTAGAATGAGCCTGAATTATTTTATATAAATAATTATTTGTTTAACTGTTCCAAATATGACACATTTTCTTTCCAAACCATGAAAAAGGCTTGATTTGATTTAACTTCTTACCAATTAAGAGAAGATGTAGTTAATAGTAGTGACACCTAGACATTTCTGTCTGGCTTCAGGATCTTTTTCTCACTGTGGTTCTAATATGGTTTCATTCCCAGTGTTGTGAGTTCTACTGTGAAGGTCATGGACATCAGGCTAACTGGTGTCCATAGCTGGAACTTTTCTTTCTCTCTTTTCCATTGTGTGTTTGCTACATGGATGGACGGGTGAGTTCTTAGGTTGGTAACGGAGCAAAAGCTGCTCTTGGTTTTTCTGAGCTGTTTTTTCTTCTGTGGACAGAGTGGGAGTGTCCTGTGCTGGGTGGTGGACTTAGCACTGGCGTGTTCTGAGAAATGGATCGTGTGGTTTTCTTCCTTGTGGGGCATCATAAGGAAGGCACACTTCAGCTAGAAGTGCTAGGAGACAGTGGAGAAGCAGGCTTGGAGTGGACCTGCAGTCCGTCATTTACACAGGCATTGTCCTGCTGCTCATGACTGTTCCTGTTCTTTCCCAGAAAGCTGTCTGATGAAAGCAGCAGCAAACAGCTGTATAATAAAAAATTTAACCAAGTTTTCATTTATTTGTGTTTTAATATGTATTTGTTGCACTTTTACATAATTGAAAGGAGATTGTAAGCTGTTGTATGCAGTAGTTAATTGTGATTTTTTTTTATGTGCTCCAGGTCTACCATATGTAAGCCAAACTTAAAGGCCTGTGAGGGAACCTGAGGAATAGTCAGGATCCATATTTTGCATTCTTCATTTGCATTGTATGTATTAATTGTATCATTGGTCTGTTTGGTACAGCTATAAAATATAACCTGGAAATCATTCTTTTTACAGTTAGAATTAAGAATAGAGGAACTGAACAAAGAAGTTAAAGCTTCTCAAGATCAGCTAGTTGCACAGGATGTCACAGCTAAAAATGCAATTCAGCAAATCCACAAAGAGATGACCCAGAGGATGGACCAGGTATTTCATATCACTATTAATTTGATAGTTTGGTACTTGTTTATTAGAATATAACAGCTATTGTGACTCTGGTGACACTCATAGAAAGAGCTTTGAAAGGAAGCGAAGGACTGGAGGGTGACTCAGCTGGGAAGACTGCTTGCTGATCTTGCAGAAGTCAGGAGTTTGTATTCTAGCATCCAGTCAGGTGGCTCCCAGCCACCTATCACTCCAGTGCCAGGGTTTCCATGCCCTCTTGTATCCTCCCAGGGCATTCACATGCTTGTGCTCAGACAGAGACAAACACACATACACATAAATACAAATAAAAAAATAAATCATAAACAGTGCTAAGGCAATCATAAATACATGCTAATTTTTAAAAAGTTAATAAATTAAGAAATATATGGGACACAATGAGAGTGACCTCTCCACCTGTGTCTCCATTCCCTTCCTATCTCTTTCCTTGTTCCATAACTAGTTATTGACATTCTGTTACATCACATGTACATGTACTTGAGACACCTGCTTGTGTATACATGTTTTCACTAGCCCCTTTGTGTCGCCACAACCAAACACTTGAGTCTAGATACTCTATTACAAAAACAGGTGCATATTGATGTTATAGTTCTAGCAGTTCAAGAGCAGGACAACCCAGACAGAGTAGTTGTATTAGGTGACTTCTGGTGGCTGGAAGCCGGATTCTTTCTTTCTTTCCAAGTGTCTGCCTGCCAATCTTGCTAGCCAAACCCCACTACAAGTGTGAGGTTACAGGAGCTGCGATGGATGGTCCTCTTCCTGGGGCCCAGAGTGGGCCAGAAACCAGCAAGGAGGCAGATGTGGAGAAGGGAAACACACACTAAAAACCACACCAACCAAAGTAAAAGCAGTAAGAAAGGGCTGGGAGCTTAGTACGAAAGTATATGCCTGCACTGCAGGAAATGGTTTTTAGCTGTAGGTGTTTTTATGTGAAAATATTTTTATTAATGCGAGCTGATGTTTTCTTTCTAAGGCCAATAAGAAATGTGAAGAGGCCCGTCAAGAAAAGGAGGCGATGGTAATGAAGTATGTGAGAGGTGAGAAGGAGTCTCTAGACCTCCGCAAAGAAAAAGAAACACTTGAGAGAAAACTTAGAGATGCAAATAAGGAGTTGGAGAAAAACACTAACAAAGTTAAGCAGCTTTCTCAGGAGAAAGGGCGGCTGCAGCAGCTCTATGAATCGAAGGTATACCTTGTGCCTCTTCCCCAGTCACACAGCAGGGTAGGACTGAAGCAGTCAGTGTGTTTTATTAGCTTACTTTCATGCGTGTTTTAGGTGCCTCATTCCTTGCTGCTAGAAAGGTTTTTCTTAATCATTTTTAAAACTTTCTTTTAGAAGCTGTTGGAAAAATTAGTTTGTATCTCAAAAAAAAAAAAAAACAACTTTGCTAAAATATGTACATATTAATGTCAGTTGTGAATAGCTTTAGAATTAAAGGTATCATTTGGCCAGAGTCTTCCTTTTTTTTTATTTAATACCTTTTCCCCCTGCAGTGCCAGGGACTGGGTCTGGGTCTTCCTACAGGCTGGGCACGGTCACCACTGCTGAGCGCATCTCCAGCATGGCCAGAATCTTAGTGCAATATTTAGTTTCCTGGAGACTAGAATTCACATTTTCTTACTGACAAATGTATTTATTCTAAAGCTGTCCTAGAAGGCTGAATGGCTGAAGTTGTAGCTATTCAGAGCTCTTGCTATTGTCTTTTAGTTTGGAAATGTTGTCACTGTCCTCCGGAATTCTAGCAGAACCAGCTCAGTCATGTTTACTTTACTCTCAGATAGTTAAGAATCAGAGTATGTTTGTCTTCCACTGCACCCAAACTAGGTAATAATTATCCTCATGTCTGTTGATTTGATTTAGAGTTTTATTACTCTTATCATTTGAACCTTAAATCAGTTTTATAAAGCCTTTGGGCCATAGTATACCCACCCTTGAATTATTGTGTTACTGCAGAGGGGTGTAAAAGACCCACAGTTGATTGTTTAAGTGAAAAATGACCTAATGTCCTTTTAGGAAGGTGAAACGTCTAGACTCATGAGAGAAACAGACAAGTTAAAGGAGGAGATCAGCTCGTGCGTCATTAAAGTAAAGTGGGCACAGAACAAGCTAAAGGCCGAGATGGACTCACACAAGGTGAGTGTGGGTGCAGGGGGGGAGCCGGGGGGGCCCAGGGGGAGTTCGGTGACAGCTAAGGAGGCCTGGAGACTTCCTTAGCGATTCTGTGTGTTGGGTCATCACGTAAGAAAGGGATTTAAATTTTATAATTCAGAGTGTATAACACCCAAATTTGCCAAATTAATTTTTTTGATCCTCAGTTTGAGGAGAGGGAAACTTCAATATATGTTGTTGGAATTAAAATGAAAAATTTTAAAGTATCTTAAGATTCTCATAATTAAGAATGCATGTTCATGTTTAAATTTAATTTAATACAAATAGCTTATCTGTTTTCATAAATAACCCATTGCTACTATGCTGGCAAAAACATGTATGTGCATGAACACATGTGCTAGGCTAATTACCCTGTCCCTGAACTGCTTACTGCAAATACCATTTTATTTAAAAATTAATATAATAAAATGCAGTTACAAAGTCTGGTAACTGATGGCATAGTTTAAACACAAATAGAATTAGTCTTTGGAGAAATAAAAATCTTCAGATGATAAAATGGACAGTAAAAATCGACTCTGAAATGTAGCTTAAACAGAGGGGTGGTGTTAGAGAAATAGTGTGTTATTTTCCAAGTTTTTAAAAGTAGGCTTAATGATGCTGTCTAAAACATAATTCCAGGTTGCCTTAGTATTGTTATTGTTTTGGTTTTTTGAGATGGGGTTTCTCTGTGTTGTAGCTCTGGCTGTCCTAGAACTTACATGGTAGACCAGACTGGCCTCGAAACTCAGATCCCCCTGCCTCTGCCTCCCAAATGCTGGGATTAAAGGCGTGTGCCACTACCGCCTGGCCACATTGCCTTATTAAGGATTACCACGTCAATGAAGTTGTTGATCACCTTTGGGTATTTGTATGTTAGTATCAGAAAACTAGGTGGTCTGTGAGAGAGTGGTGAAAGGCAGATTAGCAGTGTGCTCTGTTTCTGTCACTCACCATCCATGGGTGTGTGGGAAACTACACAGAACTAGAAAGCAGTGGAGCAACCTGACTCACTTAGCTACTCAAGATTTTCCCTGTACTCTGGGTTATGTGGTGAGAAATTAAAATTTGAAATTCACAAAAAATAATTTCCAACTGCCCATGTTACTCTAAGTTCTGAGCACCCTGCTCAGTCATTTCTAATGTTTTTGGCACTTTCTTATCCTCTATCTCTGTTTCTAAGAGAAAGAATCTTAAGGTCTACTGGAATGTTGGCATTTAGCTTGCACATCTGTGAGTCCTGAGTGTTTAAAGATAGGATGGTGAGAAACTTCTAATGGCGGCGTTGAGAGGTGAAACCAGGTTGTTTAGAGAAGTGGCTGAAGGCTGACTTCTGTGAGGTGACATGATGTAGATGAACCAGTTAGGACATAAAAATAATAAGCATACTGACCTGCTGTGTGGAAACGGGGTGTTTACTAGTTCTTTTTAAGTAAGGCCCTGGGTTTAGCCCTCAAGCATTAGCTCTGTGTACAGCACTACTAGGTAATGCAGACATGTGAGAGTGAGAAGACAGTCTTTGCCTTCAGAGTGTCGGGACCAGCGCCCTGGCTTAACCTCGTCTATGCATCTGCCTGCTGGCTGGGAGAAGGAAACAGAGTCAAGATTTAGAGGTGATCTGGCAGTGTGGGAAACTGCTCAGATGAGCAAGAGACTTTGTAAACTTTCCTGGGCCCCACTTTAGTCTTAGATGCTAACACTGGGGTACTGTGGGTCTGGGTCCGTTGTGAGCAGTGGTCCTGGTCAGCCCTCCAGTGTACGTTACCAGAGTTGAAGTCTAAACTGTGTGGATCTGATGTCCGGGTCAAGGTCAGACTACAGAAGCTAATTATCTCCTCCAAGCTCCTTTGTGGGTTTAACTGAAATTATTTCTCCAATGTTTAGCCTTTAAAAACAAAGTTTTGTTGAATGTGGTGAATAATGAAGAAAGACTTCCCGCACTGTCCCTCATGTACTTGCTCACCTGTCTGTTGCCATGGTCTCATTGCCTGACCTCAGGATAAGAAGACCTCTGGAGCATAGGCATGGCTGGCAGCAGAGAGGACCGTGGTCCTCTGGCAGCGTAGTCGGCCATGCTGGGTGCTTGCCAGGCCATCCTGCCGTCTCTCAAGTCAAAGCAGCATCTACAGACGGCAGGATGCAGGAGCACTTCCCGGGCTGTGTGATTGACATCGCTGCTGTGTTGTCTGCTCAGCTGCCTAAAGCCAGGATCTGCGCTTCCTGGGCTCTGCAGTCGTTGTCTCTGTGGCCAGTGCTGCCTCAGGCTCATGGTTTGTCAGAGGCTCACTAGCCAGAGTTTAGAACTTTCTGGGAGTTGCGTTGCTGCTTACCCCCCTTAGTAAGCCGCCATCTGTTTGTTCTATATCTGTAGTTTGCTCTCTTGCACTGTGGATAGCAAGATCCAGACATACCCTTCCACCTTAAGCTAAAAATCCTCCCAAAATACAGAAACTGAAAGGTTAAAAAAACAAAACCGTATGTACACACAAAGGAGAAAAACAATAAAAATATGTGAAGTGAAGGTTTTCAGACTTGAGACAAAAGACAGCATAGGCTAGTGATCCCTAAGTGAAGTGAAACAGATGAGGCCATTGCTGGGGTTCTGCAGCCTGAGGAGAGGAATTGAAGCCAAACCCAGCACCTTTCTGGGTTGAGGACAGAGTGCACAGTGTGGAGAAGAGGAGGGCGGGGTTTGGGAATGCAGAAGGAAGTCAATGTTGCTGTGGACACCAGCCAAAGGGCAGGACTCTTATCACACAGGGCATCTAGTAGCCCTCAGCAAGTACTGCTTTAGTTGTGAGGGCCATTTCACACAGCTTTAAAAGCAAGCTTATTGCAAGTAATTCAGTTGTGCACTAAGACAAATTATAGAAATAATTTCAAATGATTGTAAAACATTGCCTGAAAGTACACAATTCACTATGTTTGGCACCTAATGAAAAATGACCAGCATGCAAAATCAGAAAAATGCAGTCCATAGAACAAAGGAATTGGCTGGACAGTGGTGGTGCATGCCTTTAATCCCAGCACTCGGGAGGTCGAGCCAGGTGGATCTCTGTGAGTTCAAGGCCAACCTGGGCTATAGAGTGAGTTCCAGGAAAGGTGCAAAGCTACACAGATAAACCCTGTCTCAAAAAAACAAAAACAACAACAACAAAGAACAAAGGAATCAGTCAATAGGAACAGATCCAGAATGACTCATAGTATAGAATTATACACAAGGATGTTACAGTTGAAATTATAAGCACCCTCTATAACTCCAAGGAAATAAACAAAGGCTTGAGTCAGATAAGAGGTGACATGGTATTTAAAATTAATATTGATACAGCATTCATGATGAAAAACATTATGTAGAATGAACAGATAAAGTGCTGCAGAAGACCAGATCATTGAATTAAACAGCAGTAGAGAGGTTGGGGGTGTAGTTCAGTTGATAGAGTGCATGCATGAAGCCCTGGGTTCAGTCCCCATAAAACTGAGCCTAGTGGTGCATGCCTGGGACCCCAGCACTTAGGCAGTGTTTAAGGTTATCCTGAGCTAGCTAGCAAGTTTGAGGCTAGCCTAGGCTGCATGAAACTTTCTCAAAACATATAACACCAATGCCCATGTTCAACTGCATTCTTTATACCTGACATCTTCAATACTTTACAATGTCTTCCTTCCCTCTGTCACCTCCCTGTCTGAATAAATGACAAGCCAGTCTTTTAGTTGCTCAGGTCAAAAGGCTTTCAGCTTGATTTCTCTCAGCATATCCAGCCCCTCATCTTACACCTTTCAAGCCTGTACTTACCTAACACCTCATTGAAACTGCCTAGCCAGTCTGCGTAAGCTCTAAACCCCTCTCCTAAACTTTATTGTTGTTTTATTTTTATTCCTAAGCACCTGTCCCTAATATAATGAACATACCCTTTACTTATGTATTTTATTTTTTATTTAACTCCTCAATAGACTGTCAGCTTCGTAAGGGTAGAGATATTTGTTTGCTTATAAAGCCATTTCCCAGAACAGTCTAAAAGCAGGGGAGATGGCTGGGTAGATCAAGGTGTTTGCTGTGCAAATGAGAACTGAGGTCATATCCCCAAAAACCCAGGGCACTTCTGTGGTAAGATGAGGACTGAGACAGGAGCATCTCCAGAATCCTGTAGGCTAGCTAGCCTGGTGCATGCAGCTGCAGCATGGTGGGGCAGGGGTGAGGGCTGACAACTGCAGTTGTCCTCTGACCTCTGTTCACATGCGCACACCCACTAACACACACACACACACACACACACACACACACACACACAATTTAACAAAAAGGAACAGTGCCTGGAAGTGCTCGCTTGATAGGTAGATCAAGCACAGTAAGCATCCTTAACCTAAACACAATGTGAATTTTTTTCATTTATTCAAATGTTCATTTAATTAGTCACATTTATTTGGCATACAGGAATCTCACTTGCGGTTTTTGGGTACGAAATGGGCCAGAACTATATATCAGCTGTGTCTTGGTTCTGATAGTGAAGATGCAGAACCACAGTTGTTACCTAGTCTGAGATTCTTTAATATCTAGATTATTATATTATTTCTATTAAGTGATACTGGATTCTAACATACGGCCATTTACTATCAATGACCAGTAGCTCAAGGAAGATAAATAAATACTTAATTATGATACTTGTTGTTAAAATGACACTTGGAGTAGTGTGTGGAGCCAGGTGCAGTGTGGATGTTTAGGAGAGAAAGGCAAACCTGTTCCAAGCATAATAACAAAAGGGGCCAGACGCCGACTTGCCTAGAGCAGAGGCTGCTACCTGGCATTCCTCCACAGATGAAGTAGGTTTTAGTCACTGCTTTTGTTTCTCATCGCTGTGTCAGAACTCCTGATAAAGTGCAAGGAAGGTCTTTTTGGCTGTGGTTTTGCATTATAGCAGGAAAGGCATGACCAGCAGTTTGAGAGGCCTGGTCACATGACATCTGCAGTCAGGAAGGTGGGAGAAGTCAGCCTCCGGTGATAGAAAGCAAGCAATGAAGACACACAGAAGAGAGTATACATGTATTCAGTGGGAACTGGGCACGGAGTGAAGAGCCAGGGTGGTCAGGACTGGGACAGGAGAGTAACGAATAAGAATGAGAAAAAAGCAACTGGATTTGATGAGAGTAATCCCTAAAATCGCCATTTTAGTAGAGCAGCTAGAAACAGAGACCGTGTTTGGTAGCATTGTTCAGTCAAAGGGAGCTTCTTGTGGATGTCACAGCTACACCCAGAGATCTCTGGGGTGTGCAGAGAACCCTTGAACACTCCACTTCTCTTAGCACCTTAGTCATTTTGAGGAATTTGGTGAAAACTGTTCATTTTAACTTATTTAATATCCATCAATTAACTGTACTGACCATTTTCACTTTATCAGACACAAAAACTACTGCTAGACGCTTGCTTACTCCGCAGTCTGGTGCTACAGCTGGGAAGAGACACCACGATCACACAGCTCCTATACAGGAACACAGTTAATTGGGGCTGGCTCACAGTTCAGAGGTTTAGTCCATTATCATGGCATGAAACACAGCAGCGTGCAGGCAGACATGGTGCTGGGAGGGGCTGAGAGTTCTGTATCTATATTTGGATCCTCAGGCAGCAGGAAGAAAGAGTAAGCCACTGGGTCTGGCTTGAACTTCTGAAACCTCAGAGCCCATCCTGTGTGACATACTTCCTGCCACAAGACCACACTTCCTCCAACAAGGCCACACCTCCAATAATGCCACTCCCTGAGTCTATTGGGACCATTTTCATGCAAACCATCACAAGCAGAACTATCTTTGTTCTTACTGTTCTTCATATCACCGTGGTTAATTTTGTCTCTGTCACTTTGTCACTGTAGGAAACCAAAGATAAACTCAAAGAAACAACGTCAAAATTAACACAGGCAAAGGAAGAAGCTGATCAGATCCGGCAAAACTGTCAAGATATGATAAAAACATACCAGGTATGTTTCCTTTTTGAAATAGACTAATTATTAGAACTCTGTTTTCACGGTCTTTCTATCTCTGCCAAATTTGAAGTGTATATGGATTTCTTAGGACAGTTAAGATAACATGTAAGTTAGTTCCTGTGTTAAAGGACCTGCAGTTGAAGGCTGGGAAGCTAGCCTGGTGGGGAAAGACGTGCCATGCAAGCATGAAGACCTCAGCACCCACATAAAAAGCTGGATGTGGCAGCATGCATCTATAGCCTTGGCTTTGACGAGAGAGATGGGGCAGGCCATCTGTGTAGAATTTTGAAGAGAGATGGGGCAGGCCGATCTGTGGAGCTCACTGGCCAGTCAGTTTGAGGTTGCATGATATCCTGTCTCAAAAGTAAGGTGGAGTGGAGAGCAGTTGAGGAAGAGACCTGCTGTCACCTCTGGCCTCCATGGGCCCACAGGCACACAATTACACCACGTTAGAGAGCTTTTCATAAAAAAAAAAAAAAAAAAAAAAAAAAAAAAAAAATAAAATCCTAGAAAATGTCAAGATAATGAAGAGAGCGAAGAAATGTACAACTTAAAAGACACTCTTCTGTAATATGTTGTGAACCCAAAGTGCAGTATTCTTGGTTCTGCAAAGTTAACATTTAAAAATCATTCAATGCATTCTTTCATTTTAGCTGCATAGTCTACCGCACAATTAGTAAACTTGATTGCAAAGCTTTGTTCATTTTCAAAGTATAAATACTTTTCATTGTTTCTACATTAGGAATCAGAAGAAATTAAGTCAAATGAGCTTGATGCAAAGCTCCGAGTCACAAAAGGAGAACTTGAAAAACAGATGCAAGAGAAGTCTGACCAGCTAGAGGTGAGGAGTTCAGCTCTTGTGTGTTGTGTAGTGAATATATGACAGGCTGGACTGTGATGCAGAAGGAGTGGGCGCGCATTACTGCCTGCAGCTGAGGCCTTTTTAGAGGAAGCAGGTGGGGAACTGCCAGTGCGCGTGTGCTGCATTAGGATTTGTGTCTCCTTTCCAGATGCATCATGCCAAAATAAAGGAACTGGAAGATCTGAAGAGGACATTTAAGGAGGGTATGGATGAGCTCCGGACACTGAGAACAAAGGTAATCAAATCTTCAGTCTTAACTCAGAGTTGGGGTAAATATCTTTCACTTAGAATTTACTCTGATTTGTAAAGTATTAGGGAAGGAATACTTAGAAGTTCTTTAAAATAAAAGAACTCAGGGAAGAAATAGCATTTTCTTAGCAGTGCATCTGACTCTTGTTGAGTTGAGTGTGTGTGAGTCACTGGAAGTGCTTGCCATGCATCCCTGTTCAAGCACACTTGCAGTGTCTGTACCTTACGAGTGGGCTCTGGAGCTAAGGACTGTAAAGCAGGTGGCAGGAAGGGCGGACCTTATGGTGGTGTCAGCACAAAACACTCTTTAAGACTGACGATACTCTGGCTGTATTCACAGTAGGATGGATATCATTTTAGTTTCTGACATTAGTGAATCCCATGTGTGTAGTCTCTGTCAGAGTGACGGCCCTGTTAGTGTTCATGTTACTGTTCGTGCTGTCTCCACATGGTAGAAGTAGGTCTGTGCCGTGTGTGCCATGTCCTTCCCGATGTGTCCGCTCTCCACGGTGGGACGGAAGGGAAGGAGATGGGGGAGTCAGTAGAAGCAGAGCGACTTCATACCGTCTTCTCACCAGCCCTATAGCATGTGTCTCGGGTTGCTATGTGTCCCTCCTGTCTGAGGTACTTCAGCTTGATTGTGATCATTTTATAGGCAAAATGTCTAGAAGATGAACGCTTAAGAACTGAAGACGAATTATCAAAATACAGGGAAATTATTAATCGTCAGAAAGCTGAAATTCAAAATTTACTGGATAAAGTGAAAATGACAGATCAGATCCAGGAGGAGCTTCAGAGGTATGAAATGAGCAGCAAGCTTTTCATTTTGTCTTTAAGTACAACCACCATCCGTTCTTAAAACAGCAGCAAGAAGCACAGGTTGAATTTCTCTAGTCACATCGAGTATAGTGTAATTAGCTTTAGTTCTTGTAGGAATATCATTAGGTCATTTTAAATTTTGTAAAAATATATTTGTTTTCCTGTTTAATGA